AACATCGTAATAATTACAATTCAAGTCTCAGTTAACTTTCTTCATTTTCTGCTTCCAGATGTATCCAAAGCTAATTTAAATATTTCATCATTCCATTTAGACACGTACATAACCAGTTAATCGCCACAGACTGCCTACATAGCACTATGTTGAGGCCACGGAAAGAAGTCTCATGGATTGACTGCCTCCACATCACCCTCCAGTTGACTAGTCATCGTGTTTTACTTGAATGTCAGGTAATGATAAATATAATGACAATCCGACTAACGACAGGCGCCTTTGACTGGTTGACAGAGGCGAGAGGGAAATACAACAGTAGGCAGAGAGTGGGGAGCCTCAAGCACCATTACCCCCACCACCCATGAGACATCCTTCCATAGCAGCTATATAAGTAGCCATATAGTAATTCTTATTCTTAAAAGCAAAGCTTTCTACAGTTCCTCCTACACTTCAGCTTGCATCCTGCCAAGATATTGTGTCAATACACAACTTGTTCCGAATACTGTCACCCAGGAAACAAATAATAAAAGGAAGTTTGGTTAGAAAATTTCAAATAATTTACACTTGATGTATGAATATTCAATTAACTTCTGTTTCTCGTCTCTTCAATGCTGAAAGTTCATCATTATCTAATTCCTGAAGTTTAGTCAGTTGTGGTTCTATCCTGAAACACACACAAAAAGACTTACATCTACTGTCATGAAAGGAGTGTCTACCAATTATATACACATATATGAAACTTCCTCATCCTGCAACCAGCCATGTCCTGGTTCAGAAATGAAGTCCCCAACTTAAAAACCATGTTAATGATAATGTGCTGCCTGGTCAGGGCTATTGCACACCACAGGGGACAGTGATAGATGAGTATGGAGCAGTGGTAGAATGATGGTTAGCACAGGAGAGTTGAAGAAAGGTGGAAGAAATCCTGCTAAAGTGGCATATATAAGAACTATGAATCTCACGTGAATCACCCAGGACTGAACCCCAGGCCCTGCAGTGTGAAGCCAGTGCCTAACTACCTGAGCTGTGGGAACAGCTTCACAAAATTAATTTCCAAATTATGTATACAAACTGTGGCCTTCTGGATCTCCAAAATATACTCTGAGGGGGTAGAGCCTTACTTTACAAGCTAACAAGTCACTCAATTAAAGAAGAAATTCACTGATTCCGAAGGTTCATTACCATATTCACAAAAGCACATCACTGGTCCATCTCCCAAGCCACATGAATGCAGCCCACAAACTCCCACAATATTTATTTCAGACCCATGTTAATATTATCTTCCCTTCAGTGTATAAATATCTAACTGGCCTCTTCCCTGAAGGTCTGACAAAAAAGTTGTATGCATTTATCGTGCTTTGGTGTGTGGTACATGTCCCAGCCATGTGACGCCAATCAGTCTAATGTTTGTTGAACATCACATATTAGGACATTCTTCTGTACTGTGTTCTTGAACACTCTCATTAAAGTGAAGGTCCAAGATATGCACAAACTAATACAAGTATAGCCTTGTATTTTTAGGTTTATAGACAGGAATATAGAAGATTCTGAGCTGAATGGTTTAAAATTCATATGTTCGTGCTATAGTTCAGACTAGTCACTTACTTCACAGTGTGGAAACTTCTAGTTCTATAAAAGTCCGAAAATTTCTTGATTGTCTCAGTGACCATCAGTTTCTGCATAAAGTTACTTACATATGCCACATATGTTATACTAAAAATTTATATGTAAGTAGGGGCGAAACTCAAAACATAGCTGATGAGTGGAAACTTCATCTGTGTCAAGTTTCTGTGACACAGAGAACAGCTTCTGTACTTACTTGATTGAACGACCATCTCGAACATCATACACTTCTTTCTTCTTTTTTCGTACCAACAGCTGGTACGCTACACAGACAAGTCCTAGTAAAATGGGCACAAGCACAGCCAGCACTATGCCTGCTGTGATGCCAGCCTGTCGAGACGAGTACTCTTGTTGACCTGAAATATAGTTATTTACACCCAGTCTTCAGGTTCACTTGTTCTCTAATATTTTTGAGATTTGAGGTTCGCACATCAGTGAACATTAAGACCATAGTCTTCTAGTATGTGTCATTGATAATATGGTGCAACATTCCAGAGGACAAAGTTTTCAGTACTTGTGTTAAATCTGTGCTTTTATTTGGCTGTGAGACTTGGCTGGTCACAAATGAATTAAGGAGGAAAATTCAGACATTTATTAATAGATGTTTGATATATATATTAAGAATTTGGTGGCCTAGAACCATTTAAGATAGACAGCTCTGACAGTTATCAGGGCAAACAGATATAAATATGGAGAAAAGGAATCGAAAATTCAGATGGATTGGCCACACACACTGAGGAAGGATGATGTTTCCTCAAGGAAACAGAGGAAAGGGGAGACCAAGAAACAGCTGGAGGAGATCCACTCTGAGAGAAGCTGGAAGAAGTTGGAGTGAGCTGAGGTATTTAGCGGAAGATCAGGACAAATGGAAAAAGTCTCCAGATGACTTATGCCCCTGATGGAACTACAGAATATATTATTATTATTATTATTATTATTGAGCCGGGATAGCATAGTCAGTTTAGCAACTGGCTACGGACTGGACAACCAAGAGATCGGAGTTCAAGTCATGGTGGGGGCAAGAATTTTCACTTCCCTGTGTCATCCAGACCAGCTCTGGGGTCCACCCAACCTCCTATCCAATGGGTACCGGGTGTGAAGCTTACCACTCTCCTCCAACTAGTGCCAAGGTTAAGAGAACGTGAATCTATACATCCACTCCCCCATATGCCTTCATGGTGTAGTGCTTAATTAGTTAAGCATGAGTACAATTTTACATTTATTATTATTATTATTATTATTATTATTATTACATTCCAGAGAACCACAGGCTTAAAGCTATCTTTTCCTTATGTTGAGAGAGTAATACAAATCCTGTCATTGTTTTGTCAAAAACAGTTCTGAGATAAACTGAAAAGAGTCTTTAGGTAGGCAGATTACTTCACTATGTGGTAAAAGGTAAAGTTGTCCCTGTGCTTAATTATTTAAGCACTGTACCATGAAGACATGAGGGAGTGAAGGTATAGCACTGCCATTCTAGACCTTGGCACTAGATGGAGGTGTGTGATCAGCTTCACGCCCTGGTCACTGTACGCCGAGGGAAAGAGCCCTCAGTATCCATTGGATAGGAGGCTGGATGCACCCCAGAACCAGTCTGGATATTATGGAGAAGAGAAAAATTCTTGCACCTGTCGAGAATCAAACTCTGTCCGTTCAGCCCATCAGAACACCAATTGAGCTATCCCAGCTCCCAGCAAAATTAGCGAACTTCTGGTGTGAGAAAACTTCATGCAGCATATCTGAAGAGGGAGATCAATCCATGCCTGAACTGGACAGTCGGCTTGCTCTGCTCGGATCTGTATCAGCTACTTATGACGTTATTAAATAAACCATAAATAAATTTTAATTTTCTACCATGGCACACATCACCTTAGGAATAATTAAATAGCAGACAAATTGGCAGTGACAAAAGGACCAGTTGTGTTCATAGGATAGTAAATACTGTAATGAAGAGTAAAACTATATGATTGTCAAGGCTGAAGATCATCTGGCAGTTGCCAGAATGAATGAATGAATGAATGCCTCCTCCACCAACTTACAAGATTACAGCCACATTATCATCACATGCCAAGTGTTATATCTCTGCTTTTCACATTCTCTGGCATCTCTTCTAATAATTCACATATAGACATGACAAATGGCAGGAAAGTTTTATGTTTTTCCTATATGAAAATATCCTTCCTTTTTTAATTTTGCACCAACTGTAGCTGACAGAGTGAAGCTGCAAGAAGGAAAGGGATAGGAAATTTTCAAATAGGATGAAAGAGTTTTGTGGTTGGAAAAGTTTCCATTAATAGGGAATTTTATTAGTAATGGAAAAATTTCCATTCCACAGGAGGCAGTGACCAGTGCTAGGGCAGCAAATTGCTTGCTAATCAGTCTTTCTGTATGCAAACATTTCCTGGAAAGCCATTACTTGAATTTTATCCTTATAATCTTTATCACATAATTCTTATGTGGAACAGAAATTTTTCTCATTTAACAGAGCAAAACTACAAAATACAAAATTGATTTTTTATTTAGCTGTATAACACCAATTTGGAATTACTTACAATCCTCACTGTTCTAATTACCAAGTTTGAAAAGTATTGTACATTTAAACAATTCTCTTTGTAGGCACCATATATTCAATTTACTTACCAAACCTACAGAATCATCATTTAAGCAAATTATGCATTATCATTTATTTCTTCCTAACCTTCATTTATAATATTAGTATTCGAGATCTGGTAAAGTATATTTAAAAAAGTAGACTGAGTTCACCTAATGTGTTATGCATGACTGGCCTGATAAGTAACAACCAATCACATGCTGCATTACAATTTCTTCAGACACCTGTGTTCCATAAACAGACATCACAATGCTATCTGTATGAATACCTCAATGCCTGTTAAGCGAATAAATTAAATAAAATCTCTACAGGTCATTCAGTTTGATTCAGCAGCACTGACTCTACAATATCTGATATGTCATGGAAATGTAGGATTTATTTCTAAGTCATACTTAGAGCATTCTGACTTCAGTAAATCTTTCATTTGTTTAGGGATAGTTCCAGAATCTTCTGTAAAAAGATGTTACTGTGCTTCTAGCACTGATTTAATATAAAAAAAATCCTACACATGTGTAAAGATAAAGTTGTCCCTGTGCTTAACTAATAAGCGCTATACTATGAAAGCATATGGGGAGTGGATGTATAGACTCACATTTTCCTGACATCAGCACTATTTGGAGGTGAGTGGTCAGCTTCACAGCCCTGCCGCTTTACCCCAGGGAAAGAGCCCCCAGTGCCGATTGGATAGGAGGCTGAGTGGGCCCCAGAGCTGGTCTCAATGACATGGAGAGGAGAAAACTCTTGACCCTACCAGGACTTGAACTCCGACCCCTCGGTCATCCAGCCTGTAGCCAGTAGCTATACCAACTGCGCTATCCCAGCTCCCATTATATATATATGGGCAACTTATTTGTTTCCTACTGCAGACCCAAAAGAGAATGCTCAAAGATATTAAAGAAATTTGCACTGCACTCTTACTGATATGTACTGGAGCCATGTCTGCTAATGCAATATGCAAGTATTGTGGTAGAGTTTTTGGGTGCGATTTGGATCTTTGTTTCCTGTTCTTTCTTAATTATGTGAGTAATTCTCAATTTTTTTAAATTTAAGAGTTATTCCCTCTTTTAAAGTTTTAGCAGCTTTATATCGTAGTATTGACAAGAACAGCAGCCTGGGCAAAGAACAGGTACTATGTATGTTAAATTACTAGTACAAAAATCTTCACTCTCTTTTACAGTCGTGGAGATACAAATCCCAAAAAAGGGGGCAGCAGAAATGCTTAGAGGCTAGAACATTTGGTTTTTTGGGCCTCATTATAAACATTTGTATGATAAATTGGGAACATATTCTACGCTAATTTATGTGTTTCCATGGTCCTGTAGTGAAGAAATGTTCAAGAATTCAAGATTATTTTTAATATAATGTTTCTTCACTGATTTCTTTTTATCACAACACGTTATAACATTTCTTCAGTGAAATGATAATACTGTAAGTTCTGAACTTTGATGTCACATGCTGTTTAGTAAATAACTGTCTCACGACTGTGCCTATATACAGCTTTACTGCTCATGTCAGAGTATGTTTCATCACTTGTAGTAAGTGATGAGTCCGCACCCCTTCCCTCAGCTTCCTCCCCCAGGTCCCATAACTTTTCATCAAAATCAACAGGTGGCTTTCCAGGAAGTGGTTCATGAGTACGATATGAACGGTCATACATCCTGCGTTTCTTCATCCCACCCAAACTGCTGCTGCCCGAGCTGCTCCGGTCACTGCGGTCACTTGCTGCACCTTCGCTGCGGCGGTAGGCATTGAAAGTGTTTGCTTTCAGTGGTGCTATGGAAGGTGCCATAGCAGGTGCTAGCTCTGGCTTATAGTGCCATGATTCGGTAGATGTGTCCTTAACTCTACGTCTCTTAATAATGTGGTAAGCGATGCATGCTCCAATCAGGATTATTGGTACCATCACACCCAGAATCACACCAAATGTTATCCCAATTTGGCGTGACGAATACTCCTGCTGACCTGGTTAATATAGAAGAGTAAATGAAATTTCTTATGGTGCTTAGCATTAAGATTACAGTCTTCTGGGCTGTGACACAGGGCCCTTTGGGCGTCATGGATATGAATTCTATGATATGATTCTTATGCAGTTTAGTACATAGGTACAAATGTTTCAGAGGTACATGCTGCCTACATCTTCAGGATAGAAGAATGAGCTGATTGGGGGGAAATTGTACATGATACTGGAAAGGGAGGACTGGGATTGTGAATGAACCAATGGGAATTGGCGGCCTTAATAAGGGCTGTTTTGTCAATGAAAATAAAAAGAGGAATAAAGTGGGGGGGAAGAGAGTAGAAGGAAGGAAGGGTTAGAAGGGAAAAGGGAAGGAGGCCCTGGAAGGGCAGTTATCAGTAGACCCTAACTTGGACCGAGTTAAGAGAATCTACGTCATAACATCTCAGAAGACTGTAATCTTAATATGAGGACAAAAGCGATTTCCATAAGTTGCATGCAGAAATGCACAGTAGTACTCACGTAGACATTCAGTGTATCCGTACACAGGAGTGTCCCACCGCCCTGTCTCTGTGCAGACACGGCGTTGATCTCCAATAAGAACAAAATCTTGATTACATTCAAAAGTCACTTTGGTCCCAGGCACAAAAAGGAAGTTACTTTTGCGTCCAAACCGAGGAGTCTCCAGAACGCCACATGATATCACTGAAACATACAGCAGAACCAACTTAAAATCTGTGATGTAGCATAGGAAGGCATGGTATAATATTCTGTTCAACTTCGGTGGTCTTAAAAATCTCAGATTATCTGTTCAGCGCCCCAACACAGTTCTTACAATGTTATGCCTCTGTTTTGAGGTTTTCAAGGCAGATGTTGTTATGACTATGGTGTTCTTAGTTGTGACACTGCATATTTTTGTGAACAGTTGCTGGAGAAATAAACAGTATCACAAACCAGAAGGTAACTAACAGTTATAGTGTTACACCTACCTGCTCAGGTGTTAGCTTCACATAATATGCTCACAGCACAAAAATAATGAAGACTGATAATTCTAGTTGAAACTGCTAAGTAATGAAGTTAAATAGGTTTTGTTTTAATATGTTTTTCCTATATTTTCTTAAATTTTTGCAATGGAATGGTCATGCATAGATTATTCACATTTACAATAAGAAGTTTCTGAAATACACAAATTAGTTTTTCCATGTCCATCTCTGTACATATAAGAACTCAAAAATCTCTGAACCGATTTTTATAAAATTTTGATATTGGGGAGTTTCTCTAAAATTTGTCCATATAGTCCAGTTTTGGCTAAAGGATATTAAGAACAGACACTCCACATGAAGGCCTACATGTGTTTATACACACATCTGAAGCATAACTCAATGGTAACTCACTCGGTTCTTATTGGAGCAAAAAATATTTTGAACTAATATTATGAGATAGGTGAAATGCATCTGATGTTCAGTGCAATCAGTGCAATTTTTGACATAACTAAACAAAAAACAGCACAGACAACAGAATTGTTATGCTGTACACTGATATTCTGTCTTCTGCTCTGGGCTTCTCCATACATTAAACAACAGCAGCAAATAATATTAAATAAATATAGTCATGAAAATAAAAAGCATAATACAAGGGATGATGACAGCGATAATAATAATTACGTTTAGAATGTCAGTCATATGAATAAGAGTGGTATCCATGATTGCAATCATTGTGCCTCCCCCACTCAAGAATTTATGCTATTTGTGGACTACATTATAATGTGTAAATTCAACAGGAAATTTAGATGATTTCAGTCTGTATCCAGTTTCCACAGACAACTTTTCCATTGAATCATCCTCACACATTACGGTCCTTGAGGGTCACTTTGAAATCACAATTTCAATAAATACACACAGTCTAAGCTTAAGTAGTTTTGTGGGGAAGATTTGGAAGTATAACAAAAATAATAACACTCTACAGGAAATATTTTTCAGCAAAGTTAAACACTGAAATACTGTCATCTTCTGGTTCTCCTGCAACTACCTGAGATGTTTGCTTGGTTTTTGTGGAACTGATGTGATGACAAAACAACAAAGAGTAGCTATACAGAGATATATGGTTACCTCTTTCCTTGTTCTTTGCTTTAATGTTCACAAAACTGTCCAGATAGTTCCTGGTGAAATGAGCCATATCTCTGTTCAGACTCAGTGAGTAGTCGTAGAGGCACTGATATGCATCTCCACACAAACTGATCGCCATTTCAATGTCCTTAGTCCTGTAGGCACACACCACAAACAGAATTCATTGCAATGTTGCAACTGAAATTAACGGCCGTGGGGATTCGTTGGACCGACCACTAACACCGTCTATCCGCAAAAGTTAGCACCAAACTTCGCCTACAAGCGGCGGTCGCTCGGTCAGTATAGTTCACTTGTGGACTAAAAAACGGAGTTTGTTTGTTTTGTTGCAGTGAATTAGTAGTACAGCTTTGAACTGATAGAGGAATGGGGATTTATTAATGTTGGCACATGAAGAGATTATCAATATTATGTTAAACTCAATCAGTATAGAAACAGGCTGCAGGCTGGACAACCAAGGAAATGGGATTTCATTTCTGGCAGGTATAAGGAATTTTCTTTTCTCCACAGTGGCCAAACTGACTCAAGGGCACACCCAACCTCCTATCCAATGGGTACCGGGTGCTGTTTCCCCCAGGGATGAAGTGGCAGGGCATGAAGATGGCCATCCACCTCCAGCTAGTGTCAAGGTTAAGAATGGTAGAGCTATACCTCCACTTCCCCATGTATCTTAATGGAGTTGACCTATTTTTACCTTTACATTTAACTTCTCACTTATCTGGGAGAGCCAGGATTGCACAGTCAATATACTGACTGGCTACAGAGTGGATGGCCAAGGGCTCAGTGTTCACATCCTGCTAGGAGCAAGATTTCTTCATCTCCATGTCATCCACACCAGCTCTGGGGCCCACCCAGCCTCCTATCCAATGTGTACCAGGGAGTAAATGTGGTAAGGCAGCCGGCGTGTGAAGCTGACCACTCACCTCAAACTAGTGCAAATTTTCTCTTCTAACGCTGTTAAAAAATTATGAATTCCTGTCTCAGTAAGCTGACTGATCAGTATTAATATAAATGTTGCTTGGTGAACAGGGAGAACTGTTACAGACTGAGCCCACTATCATACTAGGAAGTTCTCATATCTTCTGTTTATTTATTTGTTTGTCTAATGAAGCTGTCAGTAGCTCAAACTATGCAATTATGGAGCTAAGAGGTACAATTGGATGCTGTCTCTGTCATGCTTGTCTAACCCATACCACTCAAGTTCAGCTCGTGGGAGCATTGTCAAGGAACTCATTATATGGTGTCAAATGACATGATGTTTAGAGCAGAGGTTCTTAACCTTCATGAGGCCAGGGCCTGGTAATTTCTTTTTTATAAGATGGCCTGGTAGTTGAGAAACACTAGTTTAGAGGATGAGTGGAAAGCAAGGAAGTGGTCAAGGCCTAATTTGAGGTACTGTTCTGGTATTTATTTGCCTGAACAGACTGTGGAAAACCACAGAGAACCTCAGACAGGATTAGTTCGTCCCATGGCTGAGATTTGAACATGAGAGTTCCCAAATTCACATCAGGAATTCTATTTACTTGACCCAAACTTTTGGTCTTCTTTCTTCTAGTAAGAATTACAAATCTTTTTGTTACAGGACCCACCTGTTACTAGGAATGATATCTTGCGGATTCTTTCGATACTCTGGCACGAAGGTCTTGTTGGCATAGAAACTCGCAGTTCTGCCAAATTCTCGGGTGAAGAGAGCAACCCCTTTATTGGGATCATCTTTGTCCTCTAATAACCCTGATGACATAAGAGAAATTATTTATTTTAAAGAGTTATAAGATTTAGAATTTTATTCACAACAGGTTTTTTAAGGATTAACTGCTGTTCAGTATGTAAATATACACACATTTAAGTTATTTTAACACTGTCTGACTGACTGACTGTCTCACATAGTCCCTCTTGAAAAGCTAATAAATTGATCAACCTGTCTTGAACTTTCTTGCCTTTTATGGAATTTGGAACTTCATTATCATGAGATTTGAAGATTCTCATGGCAGTGAGTATTGAGGTAACGATCTTGTGGGATGTTGCTCTGTGCAGTTTGGTATAGATACATACCAACGTTTTAGAAGAACATACAGCCTCCAGCTTCAGAGAGAAAAGTTATGGGTGGGGAACATTTTGAAGACACTGGTTCTCACTGGTTTGCTCATAGACCCTCCCTTCCCTGTACTACCTACCATTTTCTATGCTCATCTCACTTCTGTCACCCCCAAAGATGGAGGCATCAGGTTCTTCCAAAATGCAGGTGCCTGTCCACCAAACTACACAGCAGCACACCCCAGAAGACACTACCTTCAGTTCACAGTCAGTCACTGGACCCAATCCGGAGTGAGATGAAGCTAGTCCATAGAGCTAGTTAGTAATATCATTACAGGTTAGTTTCCATAAAGATAAAAATATGGTACAGGTTGAAGATTGGAGCACATGGTAGCGCAGCTGGTTGAAGCACTATGCTGCAAGTCAGAAGGTTGCAGGTTCAATTCCCAATGAGGTCATTGAATTTTTTTTCAACTGACCTAATCCTTCCAGCTGCACTATAGCCCCTGGCATCTGCTTAGCTTCTAACAGAAATGAGTACCAGGAGTTTTCCTGGAGGTAAACAGTGGCCAGGACATAAGGCTGACAGACAACCTTACTGCCATCTGTGAGCCAATGATCTAGAAAATGTGAAAGCCTCAATGCCTCACAACCCTATGGGCCTCCATGGCCTGTTACAGATAGCTTTACCTTTAACTTTTAGAGTTCAGAGATTAATGCAAAATATTCACATGTTGCTGCACAATAGAAAAGCAACAGAGTCACTGCAATATACTCACAATGCAATGCAAAGTCCTTGTGAATACTTTCAAAATTATTGATGTTTGTTCCAACACTTCCCATCATACCATTTGGAAGTGTGAAATCATCTATGATATCATGACTCCAGTTTCCAAAAAGGCCCCTCGTTTGATTCTGAAATGTAAAACCAGTAAGAATAAAAATTTTATTACCAAATAATATCGCTTCTGAATCTAATGTGATATTACAAAGGGGTCTCCACTCTCCCATATGCATTCATGGTGTGGTTATTAATTAAGCACTGGGATATCTTTACCTTAAACTTTCAGTACTTAAACATGACATTAATATCAGAAGATCTGTAGGAATGTAGGCTGTATGATTTGGATTAAAACCCTCTGCACTGAAGACATCATGTGTCAACAGACAGAAAAAATCAAACAACAGATATTTAGCTGCCCAGTGAATTGATTGAGAAATGCTTAATCAACAATCTGGGGATAAGACATCATGACTTTGCAATTATGAGGGCCATGAGTCAACCATTACAGATATACTGCAGTTATATGAGAGATCTGAGATCCTCATGGCAATGAATGTTGAGATCATGGTGTTGTGGGATGTCATAATTTGTAGTTTCACAGACAGGTACCAACAGTTTGAAGGAACAGACTACTTGTATCTTCATTTTCTATCCTGTAGAGATGGGTGCCATTTTCCTCCAAAATATTGGTACCTAAGTACCACACTATGGAGTATCACAGAATAATTGTCTGATCCCTATCTATCTATTGGCAGTGTAGAGCTGTTTTACTGTATACATACCATGAAAGACCATGGTAAGTAGACCCTTGTAGTCATAAAGCCCTCATTCTCCACAACCTCGACTCCAGCACCAGATTCAAACATCATTATTATCTCTGACTGGTTCAGAATGTACGTTGGCATGTACACTGTGACTCCTGCAAGAATTATCACATAGTTCATGTGAATTGCATTACACACAACTGCTACTTCACTTCTAGGAATCTTGGTAAATTGCTTTGAAGCACAAAAATGGTGAGAATCCAAGCAAAGGGGTTAAACGCGTTTCAAAAGAAAATACATGATTATAAAACTACAAAACTATCTCATGTCAAATGCATAATGAAAGGCTTTATCAGGAATCAAATCTTGTTTTGCAAGAGTTCTCAGAAATAAAAAAGAACTTATTTCTGTGATTCAGACATTAAAAATAATAATTTTTGCTCAGCAGAAGGTAAGAGTTAGCAAACTATGGATATGACCAGGGCTTGACGTGGGGCGGGATGGCATCCTGGTTCTTTTCTAAATGGCTTAAAAGCATCCCGTTACTTCTTTGGCAGTAAATGCAATGTACAATTATGTCTATGAATTAAAAGGGGAAAACCATCCCGGTTCTATTTTCATTCCACCTCAGGCACTGGATATGACAAGAATGTACCGCATAATATAGTTATGATTTATGGGCTTGACTAATAAGACAGGATTTGAATTGGATTTATTGATGACTCCTTGTACAATCACTCATAATCACAATAAATTTCAATAACTGACAGACCCACAGAAAACATGTTCATTGCGTAGCAATAGACATCTAGTCTTATCCAGAATCAGTCCGTTACCCATCAATGGATGTCCTTGTATTGTTGAGTGCTTGTGTTGTGGGAATGTGTTTACCAGGGTGTTGCCTAGCAATGGGCATATGCATCACAATATTATGGAATGAAGCAATATACTGGGTACTAAACCAGAGAGAGAGAGTTCAACCAGTATCAACAGACACAGATATTTGTAAGACATTAAATGAACTAAAACATATACAGCACATTTTTCATCTTGAGAGAGAAGTGTGAAACCTACATGGTCCAGGGCCAGAGGTTAACTCCACCTAATAGACCAAAGACAGGAGGTTTCATACTTTCACCTGATGATGGAAGCAGAGTTAGCTTCTGAAACATTGTCTCTCTTTAGCCAAAATTAGCTGAGTGAAAATGTCTGGTACACATATAAGTTTAATAACACAGCTTCATCACAAATTGTTTTACTTGCATTATTTGCAAGACATGATTACAGCTGAGTGGATGGAACCAGATGCAAAATGAACTAAACAAAGACTACAGTTAGAACAAAACATTGTGCCAAGCACATAAAACAAAATGTTGTAGATGTAATGTTGTGATCACATTCATGAAAGCAATGGAAAGTGGGGAAAGATGGGGGAGAGTATAGTGTTATGTTGTGTAATTTTGTATAGTATTTCAAATGTAGGGTTGTGTGTGTCGATGTTGGTGTCATTCATATGTAAATGTTTTTTACTTTTTTACACATGAGTGACACCAACATTGACACACACAACTCTGTATTTGAAATACTATATAAAATTACACAACATAACACTATACCCTCCCCATCTCTCCCCACTCCTCACAACCAGGGCATATAAATACAGGAGGAAACACACCGCATCGGCACTAGTAAGACAACACCACATGCCATGGAGGAAACAACAGGGCATGTGAGTACAAAGTAAACAAACATAACATAATAATCTCAAACACAAATTATAAATCACTCCGTCCAATGTGACCTGTAAGTTTTTTACTACATAAAAACTTAACACCCTTACATGTTTCGGTCTCTGTGGACCATCTTCAGAGGGTAAACATCACTAAAAATAGGAAACCACTATCACATAATTTGTTTACACGCAAAGTACGTACACTTATATGTTACAGCACACAGTACACAGAATAGAACATTTCACAAACACAGCAGTTTCCTGGGAATGTAAGTTTTAAAAAAAATGGTATAAAATTCCTTGATGCTAATTAAAAGTTTTTTAGATTGTCAATAATTAAAATTCGTAAACCATGCAGGCTCGTGTTCGTCCTCCCATCGTCTCCCTTATATGGGGCAGATATTGTGCCACATGGCTATCTTGATGTGGAGGTTCTTTATATCGTCCAGGGTTTGCTCATGGCTGCTGTGCTGTTTTCACTGTAAGGGTGTTAAGTTTTTATGTAGTAAAAAACTTACAGGTCACATAGGACAGAGTGATTTATAATTTGTAATTGTTATTGTGACGGACCAGAATGAAACAAATCAAAATCTCAAACAATTAGAAAACAACATTAATCTAGGGATCTTATAAATTACAGATGACACCCATAACTGAAAAGTAAGCTACGAACATGAGGGGCAAGCTGCCAAAACAAAACACCCTGAACAGATATACATTTATGAACAATGGACGACACCCCGTGTCAGGTGAAATAAAACACACCAAAATAACGTGGGTATAATAGAAATTTTAATGGATTTTACCTGGTTTTACCTTGAAAAGAGAACAACAGCATATTATTTTAACATGGACCAACACAGTGTAGCAGTTTTAACGTAATTTAATAAAACATTTGTAACATATCAAGACACCTGAAGATAGCCCTTTGGGGCCGAAACATATAGTGTCAAAGTGTATAATGTTAAAACTAAAATTAAAATTAATTAGTGAACAAACAAGTGTTGCAATATTGATGGACAATAAATACATGGACGTTAAGTTATACAATTGCAACAGGATGCTGAAATACAGAATTCCAATATAAAATTGCATGAAAATCAGTTCAGCAATTCTTGAGTTGCTATGTATGGGCAGATGGAAATAGCAAAGTTAATTGGTACATGTTTACAGCTTCTCATTCTGCACATGCTAAAAGAAAATATGAAAACCCTGAAAAGAGGAATATCTGTGCAATAAAACACTAAGGCTAATTTAGAGAAAATTTTTAACTACAGAAGTCACAGGTAGAGGGAAGTGAAACATTGGCAGGCTGCAGTGCTCTATGTCACTGACTGCGGCATTACTCACCAGGGAAGTGCTGGATCCTCAAGGATGTCCTGTCAAAGTACACCCTCTTCCCAGCGGCAAACACATCAAGATGATACCTCCACTGGGCATGCTTAGGTCTCAGACGTACTTCTATGATAGCCGAAGTGTTGTCTCTCGCTGAGGAGGAGGAATATTGCAACAGCAGATTAAATATATTTCAGATGTTCATTCGTTCAGAGACACGGAATATAACTTACAGGAAAAAAAAACTGCATAATGTTACTGGCATGATCAAATCAAGGAGGATGACATGTACAGGACATGTAGCATGCATGTCAAATCAAAAGACCATTTGGGGTGTCTAGAGAGGAGGCCAGTATTAAGGATCTTGAAGAAATAGGGTGCGAATGTGTAAACTGGATTCACCTGACTCAGAATAGGTTCCAGTGATAGGCTCTTGTGAACACAGTAATGAACCTTCCAGTTCCCTGGAATTTCTTGAGGAGCTGGGCAACTAATAGCTTCCAAAGAAGGATTCTGTTCCATGGGGTTCAATAGTTACAGTTCTGTTGGACTCAGAACAGTGCACTAACCTGCAATGGCTGTCAGCTGTGTGGCTCTCACCTCCCCGTAGATATTGTCAGGGAGCTGCTCAAAACGACCCTGAACATCAAATTTCTGTTTTGGAGTGTCAGAATGTAACAAAACGAACTCTCCTTTCCCATTAAACGTGTACTCCAAGTCATCAAATGTGATGATATGTGGGTCACCAAACACAGTGGCTGAAAATAATTCATAATGTAAAGCTCACTGTGTTTATCACTCGTTTACACAGAATTTAATTGACAGGTTAAAGTATAAGGACTTTTAGAACTGTGCTGTATAACACTTACCAACAAAAGGTGACTGGTATGCAACGCAGTCCTGCGTGGGTCTGCGTTCAAATCGGAATGTCTCACAACCAACTGCTTGCTCCTCTTGCCACAGGCAGCACATGTAGAATGGTGCAATGTCATGATACCAGTGTGACAGTGTTGGTACCTGACAAAATATATTGCTTATTAGTTTTCAGGTCACTAAATCTAATTTCCAACTGTGTAAAGTTAAATTTTAAGCAGCAAAATTCATTTTCTGTGTTGAGGTTTTCATGGCAGTGAATATTAAGATTATATTCAGCTGGGATGTCACACCATGATGTGTGGTTGGTTAGTGACAGTGTTCTGGGAAAACAGCTGCCTACACTTTGATGTTAGATGAGGATGGAGGTGAGAGGTACCTAGCTACCATCCTGCACAGCATCATGACATGAAGCCTGAAACCCATAATATTGGAGCCAGTGCAGACATTCATTCCTAGGCAGTGACTCAGTAAACAGGTTACTACAGCAATGAATAAGCAAGCAACAATCAAGGCATTGCTGAGCTAACGATGGAAACAGTGTTTTCCATTGGATTCACCCCAAGGCTATATAATGAAGATCCCAGGGCGGCCGACTGACCGTCAGTCATAAAATGAGACTCAGACTCAGCTGAGAAATAATTGAGTCTCTTGTGATGGCAAGAAAAGGATTCAGAAGAGATGACAACAAGAATCGACAGGACAGTTGTGAAGAAAGGAATTAGGCTGTGATTTGAAGACTTTTTATGTTCTGTAGTTGCAGTGAGACTGTTATAAGCTCGTTGCCAGGGTACAGCTAGTGAAGACTGAGAACCCTAGTGTGAGTGTAACGGTAAAGTGTAAAATGTATAGATCAGCGATAGCGCTGTATTACTTTTATTAACAAATTGCGCATATAAATCCAATTAAATCCAATCATCTAATCCAAACCCCATCAATAGTCACACACCCCTAATACACATGACAATATTCTCAACATGGCTGATTACTTAATTTACAGAAAGCAAAGTTAATATCATGATCACAGTCAGGGCCTACCTACCTTCTGATATAAAGGCTAATATTTGACAAACAGCTCAGCATCCAGTCTGTGTTTTATTAGGCCCTAGATTTCATAAAATTGGCCTTCAGAAAATATGTTCATCATATTCAGCTGCACACATAAATGTTAAGATGTAATGAATGTATGTCAGTTCTTCTTCAGCTGGCTTTGCAAAGCTTTATTTAAGTTTATTTGTAATGATAAATAATTGAACATTCAGGATTAATGAGTTTTTGGGCTTCATCCATTGTCTGGTATTCTAAAGAATACAAGGTTTCAGAAACTGGACCACTTACCATCCCCAGGTGAGAGAGTGGGAAACATGTACTCTGGTAGGTCCATTAGGAACAGATAACCACAATCCACCCCCTCACCTGAGGATGGACAAAGTCCAAAAACCCAGTAAGCCTGATTGTCATACACCATCCTCAGAACCCTTAAGAATGTATCTATAATTACACATACTTTAATGTTGGATACCAAAATGATGTATACATGGCTATCCTTACATAACATTCATCTGAGGATTAGTATATAAGCAGAACATTTGAAACACAACACCTGGCTCTTCCCCCTCCCCTCTTTTGTTTCTTTCCCTGAAGTAATTTCTATGTGATTGTATCAGACAAGCAGGTGTACCTTCCCTTCACCCCAGATATGGTTACTTTCTTCATCAGTATGACAGTATACATACAGTAGCTAAAACCCTCCCGTGCCATAGCTCAAGTGGTTAGTCACTGGCTTCCCATTGCGGTGGCACGGGTTCGATCCCGGGTCTGGTCAAGTGGGATTTGTGGTGGACAAAGTGGAGTTGGGGTAGGTTTTCTCCGAATACTTCGGTTTTCCATGCCAATCTTCATTCCACCAATTGCTCCACAATCACCCTCACCTATCATCTGGGGCTGGTACAATAGGCCAGAAGTGGCCACAGTACAAGCGACTTAGTCCCACCCCACTAGCAATAAAAAAACACTCAAATTTAGAAACTGAAGTTTTTTTTGTAATTAAAAACAAGACTGGGAATGAGGATTCAAGTTGCACCTAAAACTCTATCACAACACTTGCGCATCACTTTAACAACTATTGTAAGAGTATGGAGTGTATTGCATAATATCGTTGCATGTTCTCTGTTAGGTTCATGGTAGGAAACTGGAAAGTGACATCTTTATACAGGATAGGGGGCATAAGAACGAAATGGACTTGGCTTACACATTTTGTATAACTATATCTAATTTAGTCCATACTTCACCTTGTTGGCTTCATTCCAGGGCAAGAAACCAAGGTTATGTGACCTGTGGGGCCATGATCCCCACTGTTGGTCATAACTAAGCATAAGGTAGTTGTTCTTGTCATAGCAGCATTGCTGGCCTGAACCAATCTGACTGAAACATTAGATTAATTTTGCTACTTACTTCACTGTTACATTTAATGGGCTAATTATTAAATGCCAGAATATTCTATAATACAAAAACATATTGTATATGAAGGAGAAAATGGTTTCAACTTGTATATTCTCTCAAAGTATCAGAAATTATAAACTTGATCTTCAAATCATCATTAGTTGTTAGGCATGTAAGAAAACATCGTTATCTTATGGCAGTAAATCATGAATGATAAGAAGAAATATGTTCATAACATCTAGAAGTTTGTGATGATGGTATATTAATGCAGTTACTGACTTTCTGGACACTATTCATTTATCCATTCAGTACAGAGATAAGGACTAGCTCTACCAACTGGGCCCAGCTGAATAGGCTTTTTATCTGAGGACAGAGACAGAGTCCAGTCTCCAAAACATCACTTTAATAAAAGTAGGACGATGGATAATTTTCAAAATGTCAGTCACTGTAGAAACATGTTTCATAACCAGGGCAGTGGGATACATACTTTTAGACTAGAAATGAAGTGCAGAAGTTATGAGAGAACTGAAATCTTCTCAAATAACAAAATTTAAGAGAACAATACAGAAAAATTTTAAAAGAACATGCTGACAGGATTTCAAAAGCCATCATTACATACCAACCAGAAAGAAAGTTTGGGAAAACCTGTGAAAAATGGAATGACCCTGTTTTCTGATATCCATAGCAGGTCCCAGTAGGCCTGATGCGAGTATAAACAGATACTGCTGTAGCTTTGTTTGGTGATGCTACAGTTCATTTTCATCTTGTATATTTTTCCATGCCAAGTTATAAACTTAATTTAAAGATGACTTTCATTGTTTAATCACAAAAGAAAGCATTATGGTTTACTGTATGTAATTATTTAATTATTTGCCATGATAACATACGAGTACAAATATTTCCAGACACTAAGCAATACTACATTTAGAACTGCATATTGTGAAGTGTTTTGAAAATTCACTAACAGTAATCATATTGTCTGCTCCTTTGAAATCTTCATGTCTGAACTTTTTATTTAATAGAATTCACATGTTTCCTGACCAAAGCATTTTCTAAGCAACCACAAGATTTATATTATGAAATCTGGGGCACACATAGTTGAGGATTCTACATATGTGCTGACCATTATATGGTGATTTCTTTGTAAACATATTTTTAATAATATTTTAAAAGAATATTTGTAATGCTTAAAAGAAAATATATGATAATTTTATATATTCTGTGTCAGAGATGAAAAAGAATATTAGCGGATGCAGAGGGCATTGGACTACATGTGGGTCATATTTCATAACCATAAATCTCGTGATTGCTTAGGAAAATGTATCTGAATCTGATAATATTAAGTTGTTTATTATCACAGTACAGTCAAGTTCCTGAAATCAGTTTAATTCATCACTATCCTGGCATGTAATGTTATATCTCTCCATGGATATCTGTGGTCTGTTTAGCATGCTACTAACCATATAGTTTCTACACAGCTACAAAATGTGAATCAAATTGCGTACAGGAATTCCAATATACATTGTTTGTGAAGTATGATGTTACTTTATGCATAAGACTGTTTTATGAAAAACTTATAAAAATTGTTTGTATGTTCTAAAATTATGTACAATCACAGAAAATAACCTTCAGCTAGGGTTTTCTTTTTGTATTACAATGAACCCTCCATAATCCAGAATAACTGGGGGTGGACAGGTCATGTGGATTAGGTGATAATCTAAATTAATGAAACAAGATGTATCCCTAAAAGACACAAAAAAAAACTTAGAACACAAATAAATGGAAAATTTAGTGATATAAGTAAATCCTTTATTTAAAATACAAAAAGACCAAACTTTTATTCATCGATAGAAGACTCAGAAGTTGTACTTCCTTTTGAATGTAATAATGCAAGCTTTAAGAAACTGTTAAGTTTTGTCTGAACAGTCAAGTGACTCATCTGCCTTCCTAAATGCCATGTGTCTCATAAAGCACATAATCAACTGTGAAGAGCATTTCTCACTTCTCATATTTTGATCCACATTATTCCACAACCAGATTAATTGTAACAGGATTAGTGGGTGTGTACTGTATTAAGCATGTACCCTTCAGGATGATATTTTAAATTTTGAAATATGTTAAGACAGATTTTTTTTTACAGATTTTAAGGCTCTGTGTTACAAATGACTGTACTATGGTAATAAACAATGCTATGGATTACAACAATGTACAACTCAACATTAAATTAATAATATTAGTATTGAAAAAATGGTCTTATAGGTTATAATCAATATTACAAGAAACACACCGCCTCCATCTTCAGGGTGGAAGATGGATAGAATAGATTCATCCAAAACTGTGGTAACTACTAATCAGATGACACGGTGTCATAACTCAGAAGCCTGCAATCTAACATATGAGCATGATTTTGGCTTCAGACTTTAAAATAGGTAATGCAGCTGTGACAGGGAATGACAATGAGTCCCATGGTTCTGCCAGTCCATGATGGTAGCTGAATGGCAGAGTAGAACCAAAGTTCTCAGAGAGAAACTTGCTCCACTGCACCCTGACCAGCAAACACCACCCCAAATGAAGTATCATGGGATTGAAACCAGGCCTCCAAAACGAAAAACCCCTAGCAACTGAAATATGGTGCAACCAACTGATAATGCAAATTCAAAGAAAAACCTTAAAATTATGGCTATTTGGGCATTCCTGCTGACCTTGGAGCTCCAGAACGGACACAGTGTACCGCACCCTTGTGATAGAAGCAGCTCGGGTTGGCATCCTTGTCACAATCAAAGTCTGGCAGGAAGCGTCCTTTATCAGCCAAGGCATGTTCCAATGTACAGGGGCACTGTGAAACTTCAGCAGCAAAATTTTTGAGGTAACGATCATCAGTTATCCAGTCATTACACAGTTCCTCACTCCATCTGGATCCATATTTGCGTTCCCATTGGCCATTGAAATACCAAGCCAATGGAATCGGTTTACTCCATAGGACCCTACAGGAAATGAAGGATAACTATAGGAAACCTCTGCACTTGAGCTCCACACCTGCAGAAAACCTCTGCCATCATTGTTATAGAAGAGACATGAAACCGTTATGTAATCACAAGTTCCAAAATAACACACAATGTCTACTTTCATACTGTACAGACTTCTAATCCTACATACTTGGTATTACTATCATTTGATCTTAATTCCATAAAAAATAGTACAGAGTCTGTGTTAAATTTGTTGGCTATAAACTCAGAGTTAGGCAATGTTGCTATATTCATGACTGTTGACTTACAGACAATATTCTATACATCATATGTACGCATGTTTGTAATCCATCCCCATAACAAATTTCACATGCCTAACTCAGATGGTTCATTGTGAAGAATTTTCATGAAATTTGATTGTGGGGAGTTTTGCTAAAATGTGCTAATACAATCTAATTGTAACTGAAACTGGATTACAGTAACCGATTGTTTATAAGATATGTATTGGTTCCTGCACACTTCTCAAGCATAACTCGCTGTTCACTGGAGGAAAGAATGTTTCAGATAAAAGCTGTAGAGAAAAATGTAATACACGTATCATGACTGACACACTTTTTTCCGCAAGTCTTACTGCTTCAAAGATAAGTGAAGATGATGGACGAAAGGTGCAAAAACTGTTACATTAGGCACACAATTACTAACTTATCGTCCAATTAATTGGCACAGGCCAAGCTTCGTGTACTTACGGAGATACCGTAAGGCCTGCATGCTGTGTTGGATTGGTCAGGTTGATGTGAATAAATCCAAATTTCAGATTATCAGTTCCTGGATTAGAGCGTGATCTGAAGTTGCCCGGTGAGATGATGTAACTGCCAGAATTCACTGTGCTCTCCTGTAATAAGAAATGACAACCGACCCTTTACATCACAATGTCTGGTGAGACAACTTTCTGTCATAGCATTCTCAGAAGTGTGTCTGCTCGGCCATGTATAATGGTCCACAGTTGGTTCTAGAGAGAGAAACAGGATTCCATACAGATGGACTGTACTTGTCACTATTTTGGCAGGAACTGGAAACATTATTTGAAATGCCTAACACTGTAATTTTAAAATTTCTGTGTAAAGACGGATGGTATTTTTGCATTAACTGCAAAATTCTGAGCAGTTACATAATAATTATTATATCAAATTGGCAAAAATTAGGAATACACATTGCTGTGATTTCTAGTGTGAATTTATACACCTTTATGTATTCTATACATTTTACTTAATTGATATTGCTAAACTCAGCCTTCTTCCCTTATCTCCATTGCTCTGATCTTATCTGAAACCATATTTAAAATTGCCAGTAATATTATCATTGTGAGTAACATTAGCCATATGAGTGAGCAGGTTCTGATAACCAACCTCAATCATGTCGATGTACAGCAGTTCTGGGCGAATCGTTGTTTCCTTATATCCCCACAGTGAGATCTTGATAGGCGCACTTTCACTGGTGGTTAAATTGTGTTTGTTCCAAGAAATCCTAATCTCAGCTGGAGCCCTTTCATGGACAGAGTCCCCTTCAAAAAATATTCTATCTGTTGCTGTGGCTGGAGTCTCTGAAAGTAGCAAACATTTCTTTGAAAGCATGAACAGAAGAGAAATTCTGTAACACATTCATTTCTCTGTTGAGAAACTGTTAAAACTGCTCTCTTCTGTTCTGTTTTATCAAAAACAAACAGATGTACCCACCTCCCCCTGGGACATCGTTACTTTCCTTGTCAATATCACAGTATATATAGCAGCCAAATTTTAAAAAGGAATAACACTCAAATGAAGACTATAAGGCACGCAGTCACAAGGAAGGACACAATATACACAAGAATATAGGAAAAGTACTCCCATAGGAGAGGATTGACGTAACTCACGAATTTGAAGTGCGACGTATAGATAATAAATCTTGAGAAGTTTTAATATATAAATGTTATTATTATACATGACATACTTACAATTTAATCATTTTATAAAGNCAAACGAAGAAATTAAATTTTAGTTTAGTTTACTTAACTGGGGATGAGGATTTGAATCTCATCCAGAAACTCTGCCATAACACTTGCACATCAGTTTAATGGCAGTGGCTACCATACATATTGGTAAGAATATGGAGTAAATTTCCTTATATTTCTGTGTTCCCTATTAGGTCCACAGTATAAAACAGAAAAGTTGACAATTTAATCGATGACCTTACCACTCCGGAGAAGAATAAGAAGCCCCATGCACAGTCCCTTGCAGCGTGACATGTTTTCCCCAGCGTTTCCGTATCAAAGATCATGACAAAAATGACTTCCACCTTGAATACATAACTAAGTTCAGCTAGTCTTCACACCCATGCAGTTTGTAGTCTTGTTGAGATTTTAGCAACGACTTAACCATACTTACCAACAAAGAATTTTCCTTTCCAGTTGAATTTTGATACTCCAGTTGCTATCTCAAAACGCACATAGCCCTCAGCCATCATAAATGGTTGTACACAAATGGCTCTGTTGGAATCCACTACTGTTCCCGTTACTGTTGTGTCATCAAACCTAGAGGTCAAATAATGGAAATGTTTATTATTGAAAAACAAGAGACAGTCATTTCAAGATGGTAGTGAGTGCATACATTATACTGAGCTTCTGTTCATAAGATGAATATTGCTGGAAGAAAATGAGATCTGAATTCTGAAACTTTCCTGGAAAGTTTTGTGTGCATAGTTGGTTATTTAAAATGATTGCTACATTTAAAACAAATTCTGATAAATATACACAAGAGCATTTTAATGATATGATATCTTTCCTTGACATTTTATCTGGTAAAATCTTGTTTAAAATTGGCCTCCATTTGTGCCTCTTAGTTCATGGTTATCCTGAAAGTAAATTCCCATGACAACCTGGGATAGGGTATGAGGCTGCCTATGCCTTGGGACTCAAAATAGTAGGATTCCTTACTTTATCCTGCCACCTGGTGAGGAAAACAGAACAATTTTCTGAAACACTGCAGTCTGAAAATACTGTGACAGTGACCAAAATGCAAATTAAAAGTGTTATACACTATCATCAGAAACCTTTCTGTCAGTATTGCTGTTGACTGTCATTACCTGCATTGAATTTTCTCTCCGGGAACAAAACAGGGCCCAGTAATGTTAACCACAGTGCCTCCCAACATGTTACCACTCTCTGGAGCAAACATTAACAGAAGATTTGCTCCCGCTGCAATGGAATCATTGTGATATTAGGGTACATGTGTAAAAACTGAATTAAGGACAAATAGTTCTTAAAGTTTCAGAAGAACATACCACCTCCATCTTGAGGGTCAAAGAGTAGGCTAAATGAGAAACCAGCTCTTTATAGTAACAGCTTCAAGACAGAACTTAAATCTAACAAAGTCACTCCCACTAATAAATAAATTGCTTTATCGGAGGTAAAGGCCGAAAATTAAAAAGGACTGAGTATGTGATAATGTGGTGTCTGGTTAGGGTTATTGCATGCATCTGAGGTGTGGTGATATAGGAATATGCAGAAATGGTGAAATGATAATTAACGTGGGAAAACTCCCAGAGAAACCTGCTCCAATGGCTCTTTCGTGAAGTCTCGGGATTTGAGCTGGAACTGCACATGAAGAAGCTATAAACTGCGTACTGTTACATGTCATTTGTTTTGTGTGCTTGCTGTTCTCATAAAGGATCAATCACTGCACTCTGTATTATAGGTAATTACAGAACTTTAGATGTAGTGTGCCAAAGCTTGAAACAGCGATACCACATTGTATTTGGCTTCTTATCTTTCATTTTGGAGGAACTGTTTTTGAAGAGACTGTGGACCTGTCGTCTGACCGATTACTGATGAATGAATCTTTCATTTGCATTTCAAATGTAGCACCTTGGTCTCAAGTTTTTGTGGGGAAATGGCTGGCTCTGTATGTAAAACCCCAGTACAGGGGCACAGCAGTGAAATGGGTTAAAAATGGAGACTTGAAAATATCAGCAGGATGAGTACAGAAAATTATTACACACATACATTAAACCCTTGCTAATCCAGAGTAATGGGGGAAGAGTGATCCATATTAAGCAAATAACCTAATTAGTTAAAACAAAAGGTAGTCCTAAAAGACAAATAAAAACTTTGAATACAGATAGAAAATTTAATGATATAAGTAGTGCTGATGAAAATAAATAAATAAAATATCACTGTAGAGCCTTTACATGAAAACTATAAAAAGACGATACATTCATTCATTGATCGAAACCTCAGAGGTTGTACTTGTTTTGGAACGTAATAATGCAGGTTTGAAGAAACTGTCAAGTTTTGTCTGAACAGACAATTGGCTTCCTAAATCCTGTGTATCTTTTAAAGAATGTACTCAACTGTTAACAGCATTTTTCACTTTTCATATTTTAATCCAGATTAACTGTAACCAGATTAGTAACGGTTTGCTGTACTTCATGCCAGGCACTTTTAAGTACTACTGGGAAATCAAAGGTTGTACCAAAGAAACATACACTCAGAAAATCTAACACTATAGATGTCATCCATCTGAAGAGCAGATGGATAGAGGAAAGCGAATTCTTTCAAAAAAGTGTAACAAGAAAGATAAGCATACCAATATCTTTGTTGCAATTTCCAACCATGATTTTCTCATCAATGCGGAAAATATGTCTTCCTGGGAAGCCGTTAGTCCAGCCTCTGCCGACAAGGTCTCGTAAAACTGAATCCTGAGAGTAGGGTTTATATTCGAAGCTCTGAGTCCCATTTCCTCCGTTAAATCCAATCTGAAAAAATGACAAGCTGAAAGCGGTGGCATATTAAATTTTGTGGAACAGAACTTCTTTTGTCTCTCTTTGGAGTTACGAGCAGTGAGTGGTATGTAAGTGGAAGGACTGTGGGTAAGAGTGAAGTGACTGTTTGGCAGCTACAGTGATGGAAGAATGGCAGAGGTGGAGTTGTGGGACTGCTCCAAATTCATGACCTCTGACAGACTTAGCTAGCAAAAAATATACTCACAAATGCAGGCACACCACCCTCTCCAGTTGTTGTGTCACCGCCAGCTTCTGTGTGACTGGTCCATTGTAAATTAACATAATTGAATATGGCATATGAATAAACCTCATCTGTGGCCAGCACCAGCTGGTAAGTATTTGTCTGAAACAAGAAAGGAGCTGTTACATTTGAGAAGTATTAAGGGAGAAACAAAAGGAACAGATGTAGAAATAAAATTCTTAAATAAGGAGATGTAGTTTAAAATCTTTTAACAGAGTTGGAACAGAAATTATTACAATGGCTTGGCTGTGTAAAAAGAATAAATGGAGAAAGGATACCAAGACAGGCATTAGAAATAAAATTCAAAGGAATAGCTCTATGGGATGACCAAGAGTAAAATGGTTCTACTAAGTATTAAATGACAGCAAGAAACTGAAGAGGAAAGACTGTGAGAAGAGAGAAGAGATTTGGAAACTTTTCATTAATAGATATTTCTAAGACAGAAATGGCGCTAGAAGAACAGCTGATTTGATTTAACCTGTACCCCAAACCAAATAATTAATTTAACCCTCTCAGATGTAGGAATGCAGTGAGACTGCAGCCTCAAATATGCATATTGTACCAGCCCCTGAAGATAGGTGAGTACTGAGCAACGTGGGAATGATAATTGGCAGGAAAAAACTGAAGAGCTGAGAGAACCTGCCCCAGTAATGCTCTGCTCACCACAAAATCCCACAGATTATCCTGCAACTGAAACCTGATTTCTAACCTCTTGGTACATCTGTTGTATAGAAAACTGTGAGCAGCCAGTCACCAACTGACCTGTTTAACTTTCATTTTAAGGAGACTAATCTCATAGCAAATAGGGACAAGAGACAAGTGACAGACTATGAACAGTAAGCTGAATACAGTTCCTAAAGTCCATATTTTAAATTTATATGTTAAAAAGATTAACTCTCATTCACAAGGAAGAACAGAAACTGAGGGTGTTTGAGAGCAGGGTGCTGACGACACTGTATATTGTAATACAGGAGACTTTACACAGTATATACTCATATTACTGTGGCTATATATGACAGTTACATTGGTTTTACTTTGAACATAATACAATGCCACAAACCACAGTCTTAAGAGCAAAGTCTTACTCTGTATAGTGAATTATCAATGCCACCAGCAAATGACATGTTTTTCCATGTGACAATTATAGCATGTTTGGGATTAAAGGTGTCAGCCCCAATTATTCCTTCACGGATGTCCCATTTCAGGCGTTCCCTCATCTCGACACCAAACTGGTCAGTACGAGACTGCAGATCTCTCTCTAGGCGGAAGTACACTCCTGGCCTCCTTTGGTCAACATCTTCATTCCGGATCTTGCCAATACGAGATTTGCTGAAGAAGATCCCAATGAAGGCTGGGTCATTCTTCTTGGGCCATTCCTTTATTGGGAAGACCAGGGGGTACGTGTAGTGCTCTGGTGGATCACTGAACTCAAGATACCCATTCATGGAAAGCTGCACAACAAACAAATCACAACTGTATAAACAAAATTAAAATAAACGGTGTTTGTGTTAAAATATACTTAATGATAATAGAGCAGAAACAGGAGAGAAAACATATCCTTTTTCATAAAATGCTACAGTTTTACCCTGCCATTACAAATTGTGACATGTAGACCTGTTGCTATGCAACGATTGCAAAATAAGCAACTATACCACTAGGCAGCAGCCCATAAACAGCAACAGAGGAAAGATGTTTTGTGTGCAGTCTGCACCAAAATGTTATAAGCAGAACAAGTTAGGATCTGCAATTAGATAACCACTGGGGTTCAACTGCGGTTAGCTGTCGCTGTGAGAAACCGGTAGCTGGAGCTGGGGTCAGTTCATGTACCCAGAGGAAGGGGAATGTCCACCATTGGAAGCTGCTACCAAGTAATGGCTGGTGAACACTAACAGACTGAGAAGACCTAGTTTGTTCTGTAGTGATTTGTCAAATGTGTAGAACAATGACAGCATAATCCTTATTTGTATTTATGAGTCATAGGAGTTCAGTAAATATGATTATCAATGCAAACCCCATCTACGAGTATAGTCACTCCATACATGTGACAGTATGTTACAGTCAGAGGTTGTAGTAGTTACAAATAGAAGTAAACAGCAGCCAGTATTATACTGTCCTCCTCTGCCGAAAATAGTTTATAGGTTGTAAATAGCAGCACTAGTTATTTCATATTGTTATTCTAAAAAGTTTAATGCCTTAGTACAGCGGTATTCAAATTTTGTTCACGTACCCCCAGATATAATTTCTCTTCAACTTTGTACCCCCAAAGTTTTTGATGTATGATTCAAGTTATACGCAGTCTACAATCTACATCTAAAATAAATTACATCCAAAATAATGTATTAAATAATAAGTTTCAAACGAGAAAGGGAGAATCAAGCTATTAAGTAACAAATATATTATTGCCTATTATATAAAAATTAAAGAAGGAATAAAGGTATTTTAGCAAAGCAAAATTATATGATAAATATTTTAGCAATTATTAATGTGCCCAGACCTTCCAGCGTTTCATGGACGACATTCTACGGGGACTCGACTTCGGCTTCGCATACTTAGACGACATCCTTGTCTTCTCCCAGTCACTCGAAGAGCACGAACAACACCTACGTGCTCTCTTCAAGCAACTCCAGAGGTATGGGATTATTATCAACCTGTCAAAGTGCGTCTTCAGAGCACCTGAGGTCACCTTTCTCGGCTACAAAGTATCCGCCGAGGGTTCCGAACCTCTGGAAGACCGAGTGGCCCATCTCCAGGACTGCCCCCTCCGAAGACCGCCAGTCAGCTCCGACGATTCCTAGACATGCTGAACTTCAACAGGCGATTTCTGCCCCACGCAGCGACCACGCAGGCACCACTGCACGACGTCCTCTCCGGACCCAAAGTCAAGGGCTCCCACCCCATCACTTGGACACCGGAGCCCCACAAGGCATTCGAAGAGTGCAAGGCGAGTTTGTCACGCGCCACTCTACTGGCCCACCCGGATCCATTCGCGCCACTTGCACTCGTCACAGCTGTCTCCACGTCCACCATGGGTGCCGTGCTACAACAACGCGTAAGGAACACCTGGCAGCCCCTCACCTTCTTCTCAAAGAAACTTAACCCGGCCCAACAGAAATACAGCGTCTACGACCGCGAGCTACTGGCTATCTATGAAGCAGTCAAGCATTTCCGCCATATGCTGGAAGCGCATCACTTCACCATCCTCACCGACCACAAACCAATCACCTACACCTTCCAGCAGAAGCGGGATAAATGCTCACGTAAATGTAATGAATGAATGTATAAGGGGTGGGCCTTCTCGGCCCTTGCACCACGACCTGCAGTGGTCTATTGTGCTTAACATAAATGTAAACTATACACCTAAACAACTGTTGTTTCAAATTACATACTCTGGTATAATTAAACCGGAACCCATAGAAAGGCAGTTGGAAGTTGAAATTCTTGTGGATTTGAGGTACAGAGTTGTGGATGTCTTGCTGGTAGTCACCATTGCCATCATCGCCACCCTTATCAAAGAAACAGTACAGGAATTCGCTGCGGATCTCCCTAAGACGAGTCTCCGTGATGACATAGGCGCTTTCTCTTGGGCCAAGTCGATGGGTTGGAGGGCCAAACCTGTTGTCTTTACAGTCTGAAAACAGAGTGCTGCGTTAAATGTGTCAGGTGCAACTTCAAAGTTTCACATTGTCACCATGTTTCTTAACTACTGACTTGTGACTATTATTCCGTATGTGATACATAGCTATCTTTACGGTCTATCTGCGTACCAAATGTTGCATGCAGTTCGAATCAGTAATGCTACACCCAGTACGTTCCATGGCTTGAACAGTAATGCAGGAAATGCTTTTTGCTGGACAGATTATACAGAACACGATGCACGAACTTCAATAGCTAAGGACACAGCGGTTCCTCCCAAGCGCGGAGGTTACAAACACCCCTACTGTCAGCCTGCTCTGCCACACAACCTTGTGTCCTTATCAAATGGGTTAAAGTAAAGAGTTACTATGGCCTGGGGTCGTCTCAGCCTCTAACAGAAATGACTACCAGGAATCTTCCTGGGGGTAAAGGGTGGTCGGTGAGGAGGGCTGACAACGTCTCGCAACCCTGTGGGCCTCCACGGCCTGTTACAGGGACAGCTTTACTCGTCACTGGATGTAAATGAGTGCTTAGTTTAACGCTTCAGAACAAAGTGTACCGCCCGCTTTAGCATAAAATCATCTTTGATTTTGCCCCTCATGCAGTTATTTTCCCGAACAACATTAACTGGTTGGTTTTGTAATGGAGAAGCAGTGTGTTTTCTGTGAGGTAGACACATAATTTTTAAATGTTATTTGGATTATTTTCGAGCTTCAGAGTCTGGCCAAAGTGCCTAGGACACACACAGACAGCTGATCCTTTTTGGTTATTTATTTATTTATCTGTGGTTTGTTTAACGATGCTGTCAGTAGCTCAGGCCATACAATGTCCCCGCCTCCATGCCTCTATTTTCAGTGTCGAAAAGTAAACCATGCAATGAAGCATCAGAAGCAGGGGTGGAAGCTTAGCTTTGTTCCATTATTTACACTGACCCTGAAGATGGAGGCAACATGTTCTTCCGAAACGTCTAACTCTCTCCGACCTACATGGCGTTAAAATCCAGAAGACGCTATTATTAATACTCACTATCATGAGACCCTAACATATAACAGATTGAAACAGGCCACGACCGTTTCCTCCCCAAATCCTTTCAATTAAACTCAATGCGATCATCCCCGCTTATTTACATTGCGGTCTTCTGAGATGCAAAGAAAGTAAAGCTATTCCTGTAAGAGGCCTTGAAGGCCCATAGGGTTGTGAGATGTCGAGGCTCCGATATTTTCTAGACAATCGGCTCACAGATGGCGGCAAGGTTGTCAGCCTTACGCGCCGGCCGGCCGCCCTTTACACCCCAGGAACATTCGTGGTAGTTTGGTAGGCATTATCAACATTTCGGAGGAACCTGCTGCCCCTATCTTCGAGATACAGCAATAAACCTTTCGTGCCAGTTGACGTCAGATAACCGCTACAGTTTTAACAGTCGTGAGGTAGTTTAATAATATCCATCAGTCTAATAGAGCCATGCCTTTAGCTCACTGAGTCGCTACCAACGGTTTGAAAACATCCATTTTCATTTGTCCGGTTATCACGAAATACCAAGCCCAGATAACAGCAGGTGATATCAGCGCTGAACTTGCTGACGTGTGTAGGATTAGTAAGCTGAGATGTCCTGGGCCAGTTATCTCGCCCATAGCAAACACATGAAGAAAAGACCACACCAAGCCCATGCTTGTATTTAATGATCAAGCCTATGGTAGTTTTCATAAGGCTTAGCCGCTTGAATTCAACAGCTGAAACTGCTTTTCATTGCAGGCCCTTATGTACGCCATGGTGTTTAAAAAAATTGTTATAATATTTTACAAAACACAACACTAAACTACGTTTTGATATCTACGTACTGAAGTGAAATGAAAAATAAAGATAACGTCTTCCATGTCACAACAAAATGGCGTCTCGACGAGATAAATGAAGAGTGTACCACGCCCTGTGGAAACATGGCGCCGAAATTATTTCTTACATATCAGTTTCAACTTCGTGGCGCTGAGCCCTTCTTGAAAAGCCGCCAGTTGTGCAGCTCCTCAAGAACTTCCCAGCATTTTATGGAACCCGAAGGTTCATTACCGTGTTCACAAGAGCCCTCCGCCGGTTCGTATCCTGAGCCAGATAAATCCAGTCCATACCACCCCATTCTATATCTCTAAAATCCATTATAACGTTATCCACCCACCTACATCTTGGTCTTCCTAGTGGACTCTTTCCTTCTGGCTTTCCCACCAGTAGTATCCTATATGCATTCCTCTTTTCCCCCATTTGTTCTATATGCCCCGCTCATCTCCTTGATCATTCTAATTATACTTGGAGAAGAGTACAAGTTATGAAGCTCCTCATTATGCAGTTTTCTACATCCTCCTGTCACGTCATCTCTCTTCGGTCCAAATATTCTCCTCAACGCCCTGTTCTCAGACACCCTCAGTCTGTGTTCCTCCCTTAATGTCAAAAGGCCAAGTTTTATACCCATACGGAATCACAGGCAGAATTACAGTTTCGTATATTCTTATTTTTATGTCGTAACATTAATTGAAAGACGGAAGCTATCGCGTTCGAATAAATTAAAATCAAATTTCTGCTGGGGCCGTGGACACGTAGTAATATAATCCTCTTTAGTATATTTCAGGTTCTACTCACACCTGAGGGTCACGCTATGTTTCGAGAAATAAATTCAAGAGAACTGAAATATTCCACATAGAAACAGTCTATTGCCGAGTTTAATAATGCATTAAATTATACCTCCGCTCCCCCATACGTCTTCATTGCATAGTGCTTAATTAAGCACAGGAGCTTAACCTTTCACATACATTTTGTTCGACTGGTCACGATTAAAGTTCAATAAAAAGCCGTCACTTTTTCCCGGACACTTGCCCACGTGATATGACCGTACGTTCCCGTAGCAGAGTGTAGAGTGAATTATGAAAAATATGTATGTCTGTACGTCCGCGAACACTGGTTATGTTGTGGTATTTTAGGTTATGACACCGTATAGTTTCGTAGGTGGTTAAGAACGTTTCGGGAGAACCAGCTGCCTCCATCTTCACTTCTACCCTGAAGATGGAGGTGGCTGGTTCTCCCGAAACGTCAATTAACTGCCTACTACCTTACAAGATGTAACCAGATCTAACTATGAATTTTCACCGACGTGAAAACCTTAAATCACGGTCGGCTTTGGTTACATATTGGATCATTTTTCATGAAGGCCTCGTGGCCTAGATGGTTGAGGCACTATGCTACAAGCCGGAAGGTCGCGGGATCGAATCCAGATGAGTTCATTGTATTTTAAATTTACCTAATCCTTCCAGCCGTACTACGGCCCTGGGCTGACTCAGCCTCTAACAGAAATGAGTATCAGGAATATTCTTGGGGGTAAAGGGGGGCCGGTGCGTAGGGCTGACAACCTCACCGCCATCTATGAGCCGACTGTCCAGAGAAAATGTGGCAACTTCAACATCTCACAACCCTATGGACCTCCACTGCCTGTTACAGGGATACCTTTACGTTTTACCTTTTCATGAAGGCTGGTTAAGAGCCCACGAGACAGCTGAGGTACAACGTACAGAACTAAATTATACACGTATATCATTCTGTGGCATATTTGCTCAAGGCAAGAACTGTGGAGCCAGAGAAACAGCCGTTGCAAGAATGGCTCTGAAACAACATTCAATTCTTAACAACTGAAGCGAAACAGAGAACGGAACGGCGTCCGTTGCTAGGCAGCAGATTTTTAATAAAGAAGAACAGACGGCCGCTGCTAGGGAACGGTTCGGTAAACACTTTCCCGTTATAAGCAAGGGGCAAGGTTAGAGCTGAGTCAGTTGGTGAGTAGAAGAATAGGAGGTCGGTGTGAAATGGCCGAGTATCAGTTGGAAGGGAAGCCGCCGTTCAGAGAGGGTTTGAACACGAAAAAAGACGTATAACCATTGTTAGAAGCTGTTACCAGGAAACATCTAGTACAGACACTGCAAGCTGGAAAAGACTTAGCGTGTGCTGTAGTGAACTGTAAAGTGTGGAAATTAGCGATAGTGTTGTAGGTATTTGTAGTTACGATCTGTAAGTGGTCAATAAATGCAATTATTCAAAACTCTGTCTATAGTCACTCATACACGTGACAATATTAAGAATGCAGTGAATTATTCATTCATCAGTGGCTCTACAGCCCTTTGTTGGGCCCTGGCCGCTTTTTTTTTTCAGTTTCGTAATCCTATACATAGTCGGTAGGACTCCTTGGACGGGGGATCAGCCCGTCGCAAAGCCTCTACCTATACACAGACCAGCACAAACACAGAATAAACGAAAACAATCATCCATACCTCGAGTGGAATTGGAACCCACGACCCACAGTTCATGCCTTAGGGCGGCCGCACACCAGCTACGTCAAGACAAGCATCAAGACATGAGATAAATGATGCAGTCTTGCTTCATTCGTGATTCGTCAGCATGAAGCTGACATAGCATCATGACTCAGACTGGCGTCATGCGGTTTTCATAATAATTCGTTTCAACTGTTTTCCTTTCTTTGCGTCATGTTGCAGAAATCGTGTCTTGACTGTTACATGTCTTGACGCATGCCGCGCGGCCACCTTGACCGGCTCAGTGGATTACTGCATACCCACCAATCAGGCACAATAAAAGTCGGACGCTTACCTCTTCAAATCGGTCCGACCCGCAAGGTAGGATTTCGTTTCACAGTTGTGCTCTCTAGAAAACGCACTGTATGTTTTCATCTTGTAAGCCACAATCACGTTGTGTGCCTCGCTTTATCACCATATAAAACACATCCCTAGTTACGACTGATACACATTTTTACTGTCGTTGGTGCGTCGCTTTGACTTACCATAGTAGACATCTAAATTCCCTGATCTTGTCCTATCATCACTCGGGTTCGTTTCGGGGGTATCAGGAACGCCTTCAGCGTCTGTTTCCTTTCTGTCTATCGTTTCTGGCACATCTTCCACTAATTCAATTTCATGATGACGTGCTTTAAACTTTTCTGAAGGTTTCAGTGCCGCATCTTTATCGTCATCTTCTAACGCTTCATCGGTATCAATTTGCGTCTCAGTTTTACCTGCGTATTTCGCTTCAGATGAAACATCACTAACTGATTCATCATGACCCGAACCACTATCCTCAGCGAATACAGTTGTAAATCCAGCTGAAAGAAACACTAAGAACACTAACAATGCAAACAGACTGTGAACGCGTGGCATTTTGGAAGCCTTGCCCGCTTTTACTGAACGGGCAGGGTCAGACGTCCAACAGATAGTAACGGAAGTAACTCGTTTCTAAAGAACCGAACTGCGGGCTGGAGTTTACAGCTTTGCTCAGCTCAAGCCCAAACGAATTTACAGACCTGTTTCAACATCATCAGAAGGCTTTGTCTGATAAAGAATATTATCTTGGTGGAAGGTGCAGCATATCTCACCCACTAACTTCATTACAGATAAGTGTGATGTGCAAAGGGTATTGCGCAGACCCGAATTTACGGCGAAATCCACTGATTTCACACACAAATTACGTTGAAAAAGATTATTACAGTATACCCTCGCTAATTCGGATCGAAATATGAAAAATGAAAAATTATGTTCGTATTTGACTACATACTTTAAAAGACACATCGGATTTAGGAGCAAAAGGGCTTTCAGACTGTGTTGAGGGCAGCTGGAGAGACTTAAACCATGATAGAAAAGATCTGAGCTGGATGAATGAGACCCTGGATTTCAGTTTCTGTCAGAGGAAGAAATTGCTGCAGTGATATTTTTCTCATCAGCACTATTCGTGTCATTAAGTTTTGCAGTTATTTGCTCCGTAAGTTTTTTAGTACTATCTTTTGCTCCATTTATTTGGATTATCGCTTAATCCGGATGACCTCCCCCAGTTTTATTTTTTGCTACTGGGGTGAGACTAAGTCCCTGTACTGCGGCCACTTCTGGCCTATTGTACCAGCCCCAGATGATAGGTGAGGGTGATTGTGGAGCAATTGGTGGAATGAATATTGGCAAAGGAAGCCGAAGTACTCGGAGAAAACCTGCCCCAGCGTCACTTTGTCCACCACAAATCCCACTTGCCCGAACGCGGGACGCCGTGGTGGGAAGCCAGCAACTAACCTCCCCCAGTTAATCCGAATTATGAAGGGTGTACTGTATTAGGAACGATTTTGGGAGCCGTCTATTTTTCATGACTTCTTGGAAACTGGCAACTGCAACGCTACCGCGATTTCCGAGAATTGTTATCAGCCCAAGTTGAACACATGTTGCTGAATGGAACAGTGCAAATTGAGGAAACGGCAACGCAACTCACGGGGAGACTGAGAACCTCAATTTCCAGACAAGGGAACATGCCAATTTCTCACAATTGCGTTGCTGCATGCTTTCCTAGTGTCAGCTGTTCTGTAACTCGCTTCAGTGATTCATTTGTTTCCTAAGATGGTACGAAAGGTTCACGGAGCTGCTAATTTCGTTTTTGTGCATTTAACTGAGCAAGAGCCACCCAGACTATGGTAGGCAGGACAAAATAGATTTGGCTTGAGAGAGAATTTCTCTTGAGACGAAGGAGTCTGGATCCAGGGTAAGTTCTTTCGAAAGGGATGCGCCATAGCTCAAGCGGTTAGTCGCTGGCTTCCCATCGCGGCGGCCCGGGTTCGACCCCGGGTCTGGTCAAGTGGGATTTGTGCACTAATATATCATTTACTTCACACATATATTTCCGTCATAAATACAACTTATTATATAGTCACCCTTCCTCAACATTACATGGCTCGGCTATATACGGCCATCATCAGGTGTCTTCTACCTTGCTAAAATTGTTGCACTGTATGTCAAAATTTCGTATCGCGTGTGAAAGCGATATTTCCTGATTAAAATGAATTGACCTTAATTAGAAGAAGTGCAGCTGCAGTTCTGCAATTGGGGTATGACTGAACATGTCTGTGCTTCAGCTCCGAGGTGGCGGTAAATGTAAGCCCGTCACTGTAACGGAAAGAATTCGCAGACTCACAGTTAGTATGCTGTGGAACGAAACGGATATGTCACGTGATGACAAAGTTAGAGGTGCTGATTTTTATGTGTAAAATAATGAATACTCCTAAAATTCATATTAGAAACTAAGACTTTGAAGTATGCCATTATGGGATCGTATGTTGGAGAGAGAGGGAAGGACTTTTTAGAAAAGTTATGCATGTTTAAATGATTCGTTATCTGTTAGAAGAAAAGATTAATTATATTTCAGGTACTTGTGCAACAGCACTTCACAGTATAGATGAGTTTGTATTTGGCTCATGAAATTTGGTGTTGTAGGAGAGTTTAAAAGTAGGTACAAATATTATGTAAAGCACTTTTCTGTATTGGTATTAGCTTGGTCATAGTGAACTGTAAGTAATGAAGCTTCACTGTTTGAATTACTTTCTTTGCCAATTTTTCAGTATGGAAGTTTGTTTTGACTCCGATCATTTCTCCATGGCTTGCACAGTCTTTAGAGTGGTTTATAGCCATATTTTATTGTTGAGCAGAGTGTTAACACTTTTTTTTTGTAATTATGGAACTGATACATGACTCAGGTTCTGGTGAAGATCAGCATTTTCATTTTATGAGCTGATTGTTCTTGATGTTTGTTATAGTGCTTGAATATTTTTGTTCCAAGTAGTTACTATAGGATTCTGACGATGGTGTATAACACACTGATATATTGGGTTTCTGGACTTTATCCATCGTCCTGGTTTTTAAGATAACAAATAAAAACACGACGTTTCGGAAACTGGATCTGTTTCCGAAACGTCGTGTTTTTATTTGTTATTTTAAAAACCAGGACGATGGATAAAGTCCAAAATCCCAACATATCANATATCAGTGTATTTTTGTTCCATTTAGTTTCCAGTTAGTTTCCAGAACGAATATTTGGTCCCCACTAACAATCTGATCTAGATAATTGCATTTTATAAAAGCTGTACTCACATCAAAGTGTGTGAAACAGTAAACATTACAATTGTGGCTATGGATATCATGGTCTTCTGTCTCTAACTGAAATGTAGAGCACAGCATTATATATATATGGAAAATAAAGGAAATGAATGAATGAATGAATGAATATAATTATTGACTTGGAATTTTCGTTGGACAGAAATGTGGAAATGGAAATTAATTTCCCATTTTTAAGCAGCTAAAGTCTCTATTTTTATGTATTTTTACAGTGTTCTAATATGGAGATATGTATGAACAAAATTGATTTAATACATGGGTATTATTAGTACCATTTCTTTAGGCCAGTATGTATACCAGCAAATACTTGATCTGTATTGACAAACTTGTCAAGAGTCTCACACATTTACCATTGCATTGTAATTCTTAATCTTGAGGCAAAAACTGAACCTGAGAATACCAAAAAACGTGTTTTTTTTGTGTGGGGGGCAAAGTGACAGATATTATCATGCAGGAATGTTATGTAACCATTTTATTTTTCATTGCAAGCCACATAGAAGTTTTACATTTTGTTGAAATTAAAAGTGGATCGACTTTGAAATTGTACATGCCGATTCACATGTGAATCAGAATGTGTCTGTTTCTTAATGCTGTTCATTTTATTGTTTCAGGCCTGTGACTCATCAGCATGAGACCTCAAGTGGCTTTTCTGGCATAAGAGTAAGAAGCTGTTGCCGTGCAGTCATAACAAGCAAGTTACAGCATTTCTCTGACATCCATTTTGCTGTCCGATTATCTATTCTTGGCTCTTTCAGATAGTCTTTTCCCTTGAGACTATGACACAATAATCTGTTCATGTCAAGACTGAAGTGAAAATCTGTGCACGTCAACGCTACCGCGTGCCCCCACTTAATTGAAATGATAATATTAAAATATATTTCAAAGATGAACCACCCCCCCCTTGTAGTAAATTAAGATCTAAGACAACACCGTGGACTTTTCCCAGTATTGTTCAACCCATGCGTGTATACAGAGACAGATTCAGAAGGGTGGAAATTAAAAAAAGTAATAAGTTTACGTACGACTGGTAACGGTAAAAAAGGTAAAGTTGTCCCTGTGCTTAATTAGTCAAGCACTATACCATGAAGATATGGAAGAGTGGTGACATAACTCCACATATTCTTGACCTCGTCACTAGATGGAGGTGAGTTGTCAGCTTCACGTCTCGGCCACTTTACTCCCGGGGAAAGAGCCCCCGGTACCCATTAGATAGGAGGCTGGGTGGATCCTAGAGCCGATCTGGAAGCTGAGGAGAAGAGAAAAATCTCTTGCCCCTTCCAGGAATCGAACCCTGGTTCCTTGGTTGTTCTGCGGAGAGTCTGTTGACTAGCTGAGCTTGGCTGTCCTCGCTCTCAGAAGCAATTTTGTTGGGGTGGATGCAGTTAGCTATTATTTATACCTGTTTCCGTGTTAATTGAGCCAGAAAAGTTAAAAGTGATACTGGAAGGACACGCAGAGCGTAAACCATGTTCATCACAGTTATCACAGTCTTGCCACCGCTCCGAATCGATTTATCAGTGAAAACTACCGAGATAGCCGTCAGCAGTGGCTGGCCCGAGAGTGCCGTGTGCAAACACACTATCTTGGAAACGTGGGACGACGGTCCATGGTACACGGGCAGACTGCGTCAGCGGGTTGAACATGCTGCCAAGCAATGATAATCCAGCATATCAGAATCAGGATGCAATACAGAAACCCTCCACTTCCGATAAAATCTCCGTATTCTGTCACACAGTGCATATGTGTGTTTCATGTGGTTCTCACAATAAACATTGCTCATTTCCTTATACAGCATTAACCGGGTGGTCTTCGTAACGGGATCGCGGTGTATTTTCTGTATTTTAAAAACTTATTTAGACAGTTTTTAGGCTCGAAGAAGGAGAAAGATTTATACCGAACACAAATCCAAATCCAGTCTCAGACAGCTGTGCGATGTTTATGATTCCACGCCTCATGTGTGAGGCAGAAACACTGTAACATTCCTGGCATATTCGCTCACTTTTCTTTAATTAGTCGTATCTCGGATGTACGACTTCATGCGTCCCTGAAAACGGGTCATAAACCGAAAAATCGTAAGTCGAGACCCTTATACCAGGATATGTACAACATTGCTGAACCTCAAGAATCAGGCCCATCTCTCAGCATTCTACCTCCTACTGCACTGAAACCCCGACATGCGGTTGAGGCATTATGCTCGCAGATTCGATTCCCGATCAGGCCATTGGATTTTTCAATTGGCCTAATCCTTCCAGTCGCACTATGGCCCTGGGGTGGACTCAGTCTCTAACAGAAATGAGTACAGGTATAGAGTGGCCAGCGTGTAAGGCTGGCAACCTCACCGCCATCTGTGGGCC